ACCCGGCGTGGCCTCTCCTGCCTCCAGCCCAGCTGGGACCAGCAGCTGAGCCTGAGGCAGGATGGGAGCCACCAGCGTGGGTGGCCCTAGGCCTGCCCACCCCACCAAGTGACTTCCCTGGTCTGGGAGGCAGAGAAAGCGGGGGACAAGAGTTCTCCGTACGTGCAGCGAGGCAGCATTTCCCATGGGAGCAGCTCGTGCTCTGGCTCGTTTGTCCTGGATGCTGCAGCTGCGACAGGCCCTTTGCATCTCCTTCCTCTTGGGTGCAACTTCCGGACCCCGTCCAGCTCCCATGGCTCTGTGTCCAGGGGGGCTAGCCCCAGTTGTAGTGGCATGAAGCTCAGGGGTGGGCCAAATGAAATGTTGGGCCAGGCTCTTCCCTGTCAGCAGTATGGGAAGGTAGCACGGTTGTGACTCCCCTGTTGGTTGGAAAACGGCTGTTGGAAGAAAGGGCGGTACGTGGGAAAACCAGCAGAATTACAACAAATGTATCCAAGTGTGAATTCCGGGCTGCAAAGGCTAACGGTGCTCCAGGAAGTGCAGATAGACACTCCGGGGCTGGCTTTCTATTGCCAGCAAACATTTTAACTGCAGGGTTTAGGACAGTGTGACTTTGGGAATGGCTAGCTGGTAACCCCAGCCTGCTAACAAAGCGAAATCCTGATCATTTGGCAGTGCCGGCTAACAGCACCCCAGTAGACAAGATCGTACACTTCACAAAGCCGGGGCAACGTAACACAGAACGTGCTTGGCTCAAAGACCACGGGCAGTCTCGCTGATGATGTATCACCCTTGTTGATTTCTTTTTTACAAGCATAGCCTGGCTGCATTACAATCGAAGGGTGATGCCAAATGAAGCAAAAAAGGTGTTTGTGGTTACATTAATCCCAATTGAAACATGTTCCTGCAACACTTCTCAAACATGTTGCCCTGTGTTGGCCGTGCATAAGTGAACAGGTAGATGTGCAATTGGGAAGGGGGCGGGGTCGTCCGAAAACTCAGCCCAAATGCAAGAGAAGGCAGATCTGGCTGTACGGAAACACGCTAACAGGACGATCTGCAGACGCTGGCGTCCATTCTGAGGAGTGACCAGGCACTTGATGCTGGCACAAGAAACCTCAGAATAGCCACATCACATTTAACCAGTGTACCTAATGGGTAACCGACTTAGCGGGATCGTAGGTGGGGGTGGGAGCAGCTCCTGGCCCAGCCAGGGGCCTGATGGGGCTGGAGCAGCCCTCTTCCAGCAGCAGGCTGCCAATGTGGGGGCTGCTTCCAGGCACTGGTTAACGGTTACCCAGGGGCGGATGAGAGTTTTGCGGGGCCCAGGGTGTGGGGGCTATTGAAGTGCGGGGCCCGGGACAGCTGCCCCTCTCGCCCTGCCCTATATCCGCTGCTGCCGTTACCCGGTAAGCATCGCCTGGTAAGGTCACCATTCACATCCCTAAATAGTCCACAGAAATCTGCAAGCAAAACCAGCATGTTCTCCTTTGACCCAGGAACTCCACCGTTCCAAAGAAAAACCCTCTTGCGCAACGCTGTTCTTCCTGAAAAGTAATAGGTGTAGCAGCGTTGTGCAAGAGGAGGCAGTGTAGACTCTCCTTCTTGTGCAAGAGCCTCTTCTGAAAAAAATGGTGGCTCATTAGGTATGCAAACGAGGTTTGGCGATATTCCACGCTTAGCCTCATTTGCGTATTACTTGCGCAGAAGCCGCCGAGTGTAGACATAGCCTCTAATGTCCAGCAGTATTAGGTTCTCACTTAGTTCCGCTAGATGCAATATTTAGGTTCTCTGTGCAATGTCAGACGAAGTTTTCTGGGTAGTTTATTGATGATTAACCCTTTGTTGCCAGGGGTGGATAGTTAAGTCAGTTCAGCTGCATTTCCCCCCCCCCCGAAAAAACTGAGCTCCTTTTTATGTATCATTCTTTGTCTTCTGTGTCACTCTGAAACAGAGTATTCGGGGCGGTTTTATTAATTAGTGCCTGGAAGGGGCCCATGAAGGTTAACTCGGCAAAGGTTTTCTCTCGTAGCGTGGGGGTCTTTGCAGCGTGTGTGATCGGTTTCATTTCATTCTGTGCCGCTTGGGGACTCCCCGGGGGAGTGGTTTTAGCCATGAAGCTCTTTATTGCATGGACTGGCCAGTTAAAGGTGGATTCAAACAGACTTTCCCTGACCGCTGGTGTTCACGCCCACGTGGGGCCAATGTATCACTTCTTGTTTGTGTGCCGCTTGGGACAGATTGTTCCAGGGTTCCGTGTAAAAGGAAGCTTTGCGGAGCACGCTACTTCCTGGCTGCCAATCAGAGGCTTGCGTTCCTCGAATATTTTCCTCAAGGCTGTCTGTCTGTATCCACTGCCTGCAGAATGAGGGTTTATTTAGTCCAATGCTGTTCTGGGCCATTCCAACCTATTCTGGCTTCCCCCGCTTTCTGGAAGGATTAGACTGGATCAGAGCCCAGGTCCATCTAGATTGGGGTGGGCAGAGCCATTTTTGGGTTGGGGGCCACTGACCCACAGAAAAATCAGTCAGGGGCTGCATACAAGGAGGGGAGGGGAATAACACTGGCCTGGCATCCAATTGAGGAGGGAAAACCTCCTCACAGATGTGGCCCTCAACTGAGAAGCAGGAGAAAAGACACCCCCAGCCCCAGCCCCACTGCAGGTGGGGCAGAGGGAGGAATCGAGGCTCTGGGCTTGCCCGAGCTGGATTAACTCTTTGCGGGGGTGGGGGAAATGTCAGAGCTAGTAGATTTTTTGCGGGCCCCCTAGGCTCTGAGATGAGGCCAAAAGGGAGGGTTCAGTGTGTGGGAGGGGGCTGCTGGGGAGCAGGTTGCGGGCAGGTCTGGGTGGGAGGGTCATTGTTCTTTGTAAGCTGAATGCTGGGGCAGCCACCCAGCTAGTTAGCAGAGCATCCACAGCCAGTGGTGGGAGTTGCTACTGGTGGTGCACCTCTGCACATACCTTGGTGCACAGAATAAAATGTATTCCACACACGGGTAGAGGAAAATTGGAACATTGGTGGGGGTGTGAGGTATGTGCAGGAGTTGGGTTCAGGGTCTGGGAGAGGACAGGAGCAGGCTGGGGGAAAGAAGTCTGGGCAGGATCAGGCAGGGGGCTGGGGTACCTCCCTCGTGCAGCTCCAGGGTGGGGTGCAGGTGGCTTAGCACGGCTCTGCATGCTGCAGGGACGGCTCCCCAGACAGTGGGACTGATGGGGGCAGGGAACATTTCCCTGCAGCACGCAAAGCTGCTTCCTAGGCCCTGCCTGGCAGAGCCTTGATTGGGCCCGCTAGGCTCACCCCCACCCCCGCAGCAGGGGCCTACCACTGGTGCTCTCACCATGCACCATGGTGCCCCCCAGCCTGGCTGCAGCAGAAGCTCCAGATTACGCCGCTCAGGGGTAGGGGGAGCCTTATGGGGCTGATCAAAGGAAGCCAGAGACCACGAGTTCCCCACCCCGATCTAGACCAACGTTGTGTCTTTACCAGCACCAGATGCTTGAGGAAGGTGCAAGAGCCCTGTGGTTACAAACACAACAAGGGACAACCTCCCCCCGCCCCACTGGTCTCCTTGCTGGAGCTTGTCCGGAGTTCACAGCCATCCACATTCAGTGGGTCCCTGTGATAACTTTGGACAATCTTGGTCCCATATAAACCAGTCA